TGGGCCGCTTTCCAAGCAGGCTGTACCTGCTCAAGTACATGGCAGGTGAAGATAATAGAGTAATAATCCAGACTGAACTTCAAGCTGGCGTTCTGTATATGCCCAACAAGTGTTTTTCCCCTTGCTGGACGCGTTCTACGTGGTCGGGGTGCAACCAACGGAAACTGCCACAGTGGACCCCAGGTAGGCTGACAATATTCCTGCAGATGGGCACAGCGGTGCGGAAAGGGAAGTGACGTTCATTGGGCTGCAGGTGGCAAAACACAACACCCACCACACCACTGCCGGTAAGGTGGCTGCGTTTCTGAATTACATGACATGCAACTTCAAGGACTGGGAGGAGCTGAGGGAAAATATGAAGTGAGAGATCATTTACATCCAGCACGCTGCGAGCACGCCAATGACGGGCAGGCGGGATTGCCATGTCACGGAGGGAGAAAAGGAGGTGCTGAGACTTCAGGTTGCCAGCGACTTTTGGGAGAGAAGGGTGGAACAGTACCAGGTGCAGTTTGACGCGGAGCTGGCTGTCCAGCTGGTTGTTGCTGCCAGCGAAGACCACTCAGGATAAGTGACGGGAACGTGGGGTGTGGCTGGGAATCCGCCCTGCTTGTGTGTTGAGTTACATGGTGCTGTATGGGTTTGTGTCGTTTCAAGGCATTCTTTTAGTGCGTTTCTTTCTTGGTGGGGAGGAAGGGCGGCATGGCTGGGAGTGGGCGAGAGGCGAGTTGTATTATTATTGTGGTTGGTGTAGTGGGCGGAGTGGCGGCTTCCTCGTGTGTATTGCAGCGGGGGCGGGGTGCTTCGCCGAGAGAAGGCGGTGGGGGGAGTGTGTCACCTGCTGAGGCTGAGCAGACGACAGATGGTTTTGTGTGGCTCCTCTGCTTCTTTTGCGGATGACGTGATTTTTATCTTTCAGCGATGCCGCGTTGGGGAGAGCAGCGCGAGTGTTTTTATTTTCAGTTCTTCCACGCCACAACCCCCACTGCAACTGATGGTAATAATGACACCCTCCAATGCGGAAGGGGGTCGGACGGTTGCGTGGCCCACCGACTGCCGGTTGTTGGGTCGGCAGCGGGAATCTGGCTGTCGAGGGGTGGCGTGTGAGCTCGTTGGTTTGGTTTGGGGTGTGTGCTGGACGCACCGAGCCAAACTGCAATCCCCCATTGTGCGACCTTCGCTTTTTAGGAGTGGGAGCCATATGGCCTCATCCGGAGGCATATTTTATTTTATAATTTTTTATTATTTTGTTTCATGACGTTTTCCGTGAGTCTTTTTGGTTGGTTCTTTGCGGCGGTGGGTGCGGTGGGGTCGATTGCCTTTTCGGGTGCTGGGAATTACTCTTTTCGTTGGGATTGGGCATGCAGCCGTGGCGCGGCGAGGGCGCATTTCACGGAGTGGTGAAGATGTCCCCCCGGTGGCAGAGGGGAGGTGTGGTTCTCGGCGCACCGATCGGTGAGAAACTGGCAGATGAAATAAAAGAACAGCCGGCAACGAACATGGGGAGAGAGTATGTGCATATATAATATATGCACGTATTGTTGGAGCTTCGGGATTTCCGTTTGTCAGAGGAACTAGCAACGCGGCTTGTGGTCGCAATCATACGGGCAGAATCTCTCTGTCGGCAAGGCACAGCTCCAACACAAGCAGCTGTCTGCAGCAGGCTGGCACCGGCGACGGTTGTGTGCGCTGCACGCAGGACCGTAAATGGGGCACCCCACCGAGTCCGCTGTATTGCCGCAGAAGGAATAGTACCCCTGCGCATGTGGGTTGGAGGTACGGGGTGTTGGCGGTGAAGGGCGGTTGGGCCGCAGGTTGCTGCGGTGGTGGCACAATGAGGCAGTTCGGTGAGTGCACGGCGAGGTGCGTTTAATAAAATGGGGAAACCTTCGTTGACGAGTTGTCGAGGGGGAATTATTTACGTGCGGCACGCTGCGAGTGGGCCAATCAACACAGGTGGTGTGTGTGTGACGCCGTCGCGCCCTGAATACTGCTTAGCGTAAAGAGGAGGAGAACACGGTGTATTTTTGGCACCGGAAGGTGCGCCAGTGCCGGGTGGCGACATCGTATGGAGGCGTACGTGCCGTGCGTGGTGGTTGAAGTGGTTTCTTGTTTTCCCCTGAGACTCTTTGAGGTGCTTCACTTCCACGAGCACCGCGGTGCGGCTGGGAGGCGGCGATTGCATTTAGGTTGTCGGTGGCGGTGTCGCTGCGAGAGTTTGTTTTTGTGGCCGCAGAATGAAGGCATCTGCTGCGTGTGTCTTGTCGTGGTGGTGCTGCGTGCCCCGTTTATTTTGTATTGTTTTTATTGTTCTTTCAATTTCATTTTTGACGTTGCGCCCCACTCCTGCTGCAGTGCGCTGGGGGAAGTGGGCGGCGTTGGGGAGTTTGTGGGGGCTGTGATGGGAGGTCCTGCCGGCATGCGCACTGCGTGTTGCCGCTGGCGGGGTTTGAAGGGGCTGGGCTGGGGAGACGGTAAGCGACGTGTCCATGAATTAGTTTTTTTATTTTTTATTTATGCGGGAGGCGTCCCACACTACGGACTCTCCGTGCGGGTGCGTGTGGGTGTTTCTTCGGGCTGCGCACAACAGTCGCTCCCACCGCCGCCTTCTTTGCGGCTGCCGTCTCTTGTGGGCGGTGGCGAATGTGTGATTCTGCGGTTCGCGCGTTCGTCGGTGCGGCCTTCGTTATGGGCTCTTGCTGTGCTTTGCGGGATGCCCAACTGTGGGGGCGCCGTTATTTGGTCCTTTTGCTCTCCTTATTACTTTGCGCTCCTCACTTTTTTCTCCCACACACGCAGAGAAGGAAGGAGACTACACCTTCATAACTACTGTGCGCTTTGGGGGCTTTGCTGTCACGACCAACAACACGCACACTGAGGTGCCGCTGCTGCTGTCAGCGCATACACCACACACACTCCGTCGCGGCCTGAGCGGATCCACTGCAAGGAGGGAAGGAAGAGAGAAAGAGGGCAGCAACACATGCCCAACATGTGCTGGCAGCTGTTTTGTTTTGC